AGGGCAGCACGGCCGCGGGGAAGGGGCGGCGGGCGCGTTCGGCCGCGCTCCTCCCGCCCTGGCCTCTCCTGCCATGCTGGGGTCTCCCTTTTTTTTCTCACAGGGAGGAGTAAAAGTCCTCATTACCGGCCCGTGGCAGGAAGCCAGCAATAATTACAGCTGTCTGTTCGATCAGATCTCAGTGCCTGCATCTTTAATTCAGCCAGGGGTACTGCGCTGCTACTGCCCAGGTAAGGAGCACTGCTCTCCTACATCTGGTGGTTTTGGAGCCTCATCGTGTCATATACATGTACAAAAGTGCATAGGCATTGAGAAGATTTTCCTTTTTCTTTGGCCTATTTAGTGTGACAACAGAAGTTTGGCATCTTGATACATCGCAACCGATCACAAAAAATACTATTTAGAATCTCTGAATTAACTTTAAAATAATTATTTTAAATAATTTAAAATAATTCTAAGCATTCCTTTAGTTTTGAAAGAGCAGATTAAAGAGAAGCTGTTATTCAGGGATGCACTCACGCCTCTGCTGACTCAATTTGTCTACATTTGCCCCTCGCTACTTACACCTCTAACCTCCCCACAGAGATTTTCAGTAGTGATGGCCCTCAGTATATGACTTCAAGTGGATGCAGAATAACTTGGTTTCATTGCTAGGCCCCAGCTTTCCACTGGAAAGGCAGTGAAGCTGCTCAGTCTTTAGAAACACATGTGATTCTGCCTTTTGCCAGAACAACCCATTAGATTACTCTTAAGCTTGAAATCTCCATGTTTGAATATACCAACTGGTATTTTCGACTTCAGAATTGTCTAGTCACCAAAACACTGTTCATCACCTGCCTCTTCACCTGCTCTTAGGCCAATACTTAGCACATGGGGTGTCTGCAGGTCATCCTTAGCCAGGGGTTTCTGTGGAGTTCTCTGTCTTATAACATGTACTTTCCTTTTAGCTCATGACACTGGGCTTGTGACTTTGCAAGTTGCCTTCAACAATCAGATCATCTCCAATTCTGTGGTATTTGAATATAAAGCCAGAGCTCTGCCAACCCTGCCTTCCTCTCAGCATGACTGGTTGTCCTTGGATGGTAAGAAGCGTGGGATATTCCTTAAGAAAGCAGACAAAATGTAGAACTGTGAGTGACATAGCTCCTGGTGGGGATGGATGTACAGGGGCAAGTTTGTCCTGACAGGAAGGGCTGTGAATGTTAAAGTCTTCTCACTGAAAGGTTCTATTAGTTCTGTTAACGTGAACAAAATGTTGCTGCCTTTTATGGAAGGTGACAAAGGGGTGGGCTTTTTTGTCTGAATAGAAAGCTGATCATACTGCCCAGTTTCTAGATGGACAAAAGAATTTACCCTGGAATTGTCTTTCCTGAGAACATTGAAACTTGAGCTTCTGTAGAAAAACGTGTGTTTATTTAAGAAGGAAATTGGGAAGTAGTGAGGCATGTACAAGAGGGACATGCTAAGGAAGTTGGGATGTTACCACTTCCAAAGAGCAGCATGGAGACAGAGCACTGAGAGCACTGTGACTGTGGCAGAGAGGTTTGTGATGTGGCTGCAAAGGCACAGATGCAAACAAAAATAGAACTGGCTTTTAATAAGGAGGTGCACAAAGTCTTATGTTCAGCATCAAAATGGAATTTGCTTGAGAGGATTGCAAGAGTCTGTATGTGCTTCTCATCTGGTGCTGAGGCCTCCCGCTGCCTGTGGAGTGCAGCTGATAGCGAGTGATGGTGATTGATACTCAGCTGTTAGCAATCTCTCCAGGGTTGGCATACCAAGTGGGTGGGTTTTGAATCCCTCGTTTGACAGTTCCCTCAGTGTTGCTGAACTCAGAGGAGCTGAGAAGGTAGCTGTGAGTGCTGTCACTGGTGTCCCTGCAGTTTCTCTGGGTGCTCTTGGTTTGCAGCCCAGCTCTCAATTAGAGGATGTTATGCTGTGGTGATGGTGGAAGGGAGGGGGACTGCAGCAGTGAACAAACTAGGGCATTGCTAACAGGGAGGGGAAAAAAAAAGGTAAGAGGACCGCTGCATTGCAGAGGCCCTTCAGGGAAAAAGACTGAATAATTATACAAACCATGACTTATCAGAAGCCTCTGCCTTGATGCACAGTGCTCCAAAGGGAGCAAATTACACTGTTATTTAAAGGACCAGCTACATCTTCTCATTTAATGTTAGAGAACAAATGTTAGCTCAGCTAGCCAAGGTAAAAACTAATGTGAGTTGATTCTGTCAATTGAATAAATACACAAATCCCTGACTTCTCTGTTGGCTTTAATTTCCCAGCTTAAAATCCTTGCCCTACTGACTGTTACATAGTCTTGAGGGAAGATTTTCAAGGAATATTTGTAGTCACAAAATATTGACAAGAATTTTAAAATTCTTCTTAATTAACTCAGTGGAACACTCTGAGTTCCATTGCACTGCGTTGTTAAAACACAGTTTATGATTCCAGCTGGAATGACCACTGCCAGAGAGAGTTAACAGCCATACTCCAGGACCACTGTAGGAAAAGAACAAGCAATTTCCACCTCATCTAAGTTTAGATAAGCAATTCCCTTCCACGGATTTCTTTAAAATACAATCAAAATCACTCCATATGTGAACTCTGTGCTCTCAGTTACATTAGGACAAAAAACACTGGGTTTTTTTTGAGCACAGCACAAGCACTGGCCTTTGGCATCACAGAGCAGTCCTGCTAATGACTAGGAAGAGTTTTAAGATCATCTCCCACCACACTCCTGCTTCTAGGACTGAATTGAGCCAAGTATAGGAATGGGCAGAGAAGGAGTTTGAAGGCAGTGTGTTCTGTGCCATCCTCTCAAGGGCTCCTTCCTTCATCAGTGTCTGCTGTGCCATGAAGGATTGTGCACCCTCTTCTGAATTATACAGAGATACATGTTTTATTCTGAGTTTTCCTTATTTCACACCATGGATGAGTTAGATCTTTTACAACACTTGACACCAGCTGCTGATGTTCTTGTATTTTTTCTGCTTAATTAGAATAGTGGTATTCTTTCTTTGCAAAGCAAACCTTTGTCTCATAAAGGAAGCACTCTCATGTGATCCTGATCTCTGCTGGTAATCTTGTCAGCCTTTTCTGTTTTCTATGTAAAACTCAGTTCTCAGAAACCATTCTGTGCTTTTATAGCCATTTGGCCTCACTTTTCATTCACTGTCTATAGAGAGGTTCTTTTAAGAAAAAAACAAAAAGCAAATGAGGCTTGCTGAACTGAAGGGCAGAGATGATCTCATGGCAGATGCATAACAAATTATAAAGGCATTTCAGTACAGATTCCCAATGGAAAGCTCATGTGTTTGCCTTCCACAGAAGCTTTTGCTGCTTTCAGAAAGTGTCTGTAGAGATGGTGTTTCCTTGGCATGGGACGTGATCAGAAATTTCAGGCTATGAATGCTGTTGGCATTACACTGATGCATCTGCAGGGAAGAGGACAGAACCTAAAAATAGGGGCAGGCCGTGTGTGTACTGATGAGTCAAGTGTGTATGGGTTGGACAATGGTGTGGCTGGTACTGAATGTAAATGGCACTGACGCAGGAGCACCTGACAGGCAGCCTTTCAGCTGCTGCTGGGTTCTCAGTTTATGATCTGTCTGTCTTTCCCAGCTGGAGAACATAAAAAGACTGGGGGAGGGCTTTGTGGGTCTCTTGTGTTAGCATGATGTGGCCATACTGCTGGTATCCAAACTCTCACTTTGGCATGGAATCATCTGTGAGCAAACAGCTTGTCTATGCTACCTCTGACATTCCCCAGTTTGATAGGTACATGGTTTCTGTATGGTGGTGATGTTATCACCAAAACCCACAGCATGTGTCTGTTTAGTGGGACCAGGTGCCTTTCTTAGAATGTGATGAGATGCAGGACACCAGAGTCAGGTAGTGAGATGTGTTTGGTATCTGTGAATGTTGTGCAGCTGTAAGAGACTTTCGGTAGTAAAAATGTCTGTGTTGATAAACAGTATCACTGTTTTTCACTCCTCTTTCCGTCTGGGTAAGTGTGACTGGTGTTTACATCTTGGATGTAAAAAGATTATCTGTTTGGGTTCTCTCTGGGAAGAGGGATGAATGTTTTGTAGCATGGTACAAGGCTGCGGTGCAGCTTTCAGGGATGTGTGAGCATTGGTAGAGGACACAGATATCTTCTGCCTTGATAGGCGCTATCCAGTAAATTTCACAAGTTTCTATTCATCCTCCCCTCTTCTGACTCCTCTGTAGTGTGGAGGCTTTGTCGGTTCTGTTTATATTCCTGCTGAGATGTGTTTGGTGATTTTTTTCCTTTCACACACTGTTTCAGGAAGCCAGTCTCCTGCTTTCACTGCATTTCCCAGACTGTCCTTTTCCATTTTGAACATAATGTGACTGAATTGAGGCAAGGAGTATTTCATTTCCTATGCTGAGTGTTGTCTTCTCAGCCAGTCTGACTTCACGGTTAGACATGGTATTCCTCTGGGCAGCCGTGTCTGTTCTCAGGCCGATGCCTGACTGCCCTGCTGCCCCGAGGGGTCTGCCCGGGGGCCTGTGGTTCCTCCGTGGATCGTGGGACCGCGCAGTCCCCAAATTCCGTCAAGTTTCGATGCTCTGCGGATTTGCCTTATTAGAGCAATAACAGAAAGTACAAATACCGTGCTGTGCGAGCGGGAAGGTGACCCAGGGATGACGCACCCGCTCCT